TGGTGGCGCACGCCTTTAATCCCAGCACTCGGGAGGCAGAGCCAGGTGGATCTCTGTGAGTTCGAGGCCAGCCTGGTCTACAAAGCGAGTTCCAGGAAAGGCGCAAAGCTACACAGAGAAACCCTGTCTCGAATGAATGAATAAATAAACAAACAAACAAACAAACAAAATGAATAAAAATCCCAAAACAGCATAAAAAGTAAAACATCTTTTAGACTTATTTATAAAAAAAAAAAAAGAAAGAAAGAAAGAAATACATCCAGTGTGGGGTGTGGGCATTAGAGGGCCTGTTTGAGGCTCTCTGCCTTGTCTCTGGTGGCCTCTGCTCAGGGGCACTGCTGTGACATGCCTAGGGTAGGATGGAAGGGCTCAGCTGACTTGGAGAAGGAGAGGATGGCTCGGGGGAAGACTGTAACTCACGCCCTCCTCATCGCCACCCTTCAGCACTCCTCCTCAGCCTCATCCCACCCCACGTCCTTGCCAGCTCCCAGACCAGTGGTTCTCAACCCGTGGGTTGTGACCCCTCAACAAACTTCTGTCTCCAAAAATATTTACATTGTGATTCATAACAGTAGCAAAATCACAGTTATGAAGTAGCAGAGAAAATAATTGTATGGTCGGGGGTCACCACACCGTGAGGAACTGTATGAAAGGGTCGCAGCATGAGGAAGGTCGAGAACCACTGCTGTAGACAGTCTCCTTGGACGCTGCTGGTGCTTTTGCTACTCTCCCAATCCTGGTCCCAGAGCCAGGCTAGAAGCTGACACCATGCAGAGGAGCAGGTTTAACTTCTCAGAAAGCGACAGCCTGACTGAGCTGCCCCAAACCCAAGTCCCCAGTGGTCATGCTGCAGACTGCAGATGCCCAGAGGCAGACTGACAAGAGAGAACTCTACTAAGACCCAAGAGTCAATGAATCCAAAGCCAACCAGAAGCATCACCCTGTGCCTCTGCCCCCAGGTTCCCCTCTGCACATGGCAGTCCCCTACCAACTGGGCATTCGGAGGACAGGCATTTTTGTTCGGGGTATACTGCCTTCCTGCCTATAATTCCCACAGCTCTACTAACTGGAGGTGCTCCCTGTGGATGTCAGGGCTGAGACAAGGTCTGTCCCGTCTTTTGTTCTCCAGTAACCAGAGCCACCTGTGAACCCCGTGGATGCAAGGGGTAAACTGACATCCCAAACCACAGTAGTGCTTCTTTATCTTCTTTAACCAGCATCACCTACCCCGTTCCTGGAGCTAGCAGCCTATCCAACTACCCAGGGGAGACTGGTACCTGCCTCTGTCTGCAGCCACACTGGGGCTCCAGCCTACCCCACACAAGGCTGGCAGAGGCAAAGAACCCTCCTTGTTCATACAGAAGCCAGATCAGAACAGTTGAAATACCAGAACAGCAAGCAGCAAGCTGTGCACTCCTAGACTGGGCCAGCAGCCACATAGCGAGAACCTCAGAGGGCTTCTCTTGAGTACCCGGGGCACAGGAGTGAGTGATGAGGAAAGGAAACTGTCCATCAGCCTGCCTCTTACAGAGTGGGAACCGGTTGTGCACTCGAGAAGCCTGGAGCTGAGACATTCTACCCCCTACCCCCAGCACGCACCTCCACAACGCACATTGGGTTCCTCAGAGTTGTCAGTGGCCAGTGTGGGCCACAGCAGCAGGGCAGGCAGGACCAGCAAGGCCATGGGCAGCAGGACAAGCCCCATGTCTCTCCAAAGATGCCTGCAGCGGCCACAGGTTCAGAAGCAGAGAAAGGGCACGTAAAGGTCCCTAAGCAGCTGTAGCTTAAGGAGACCTGTGCATCCTGCCCCGCCCTTCCCACAGGCCTTGCACCTGGCTGGCCTGCAGGTGCAGGGCAGCTGCCTCCTGTTGGTTACCAACTGTGCCCACCCACCTTCATCTGGGCGACAGCCCTGGTGCTGGCCCCGCCCCTGTGCTTGATCTCAGTCCCTCCTTACTTCCCCGCCCCCAGCAAGTGCTGCCACACCTGGCCCCATTCCAGGTCTGCAGCTGCCTCCCTCAACCCAGACTTAGCCCTCCCCAGATCTTTATTTTAACCCTACTGCTGTCCCTACGCCCATCTTGGCATTCACTCAATGGGACACCACCCTTCAGTCCCCAACCTTGTCCATCTGAGGTCCCAACCTGCCCATCCCAGCCCCTCTTGGCCGAGGTCTGGGTTCCCAGCACAAAGCCAGGATGTAGGTAAAGCCCAGGGTCCCTTTGGGCTCCAGGAGGTCTGAGAAACTCCTGCAGTGGTTACCACAGCAGCAGGCCTTCTTGCTGGGCTCCTGTCCGGGTGCTTCCCCACTTTCTCCACCCTTCCCCACCCTGCCCACTCTCCTTCCTCTATGCCCCCACAACTGTCCTCCCATCCCTCCTCCCTGCAGCCTCCCTCAGCTTCCTCTCCTGCTGCCCTGTTCTCACTCCATCAGCTCCTGACAGAGGCTGATAAACTAATGCCTTGAGAGGACCCTGCCTTCAAAACCATTCGGGCAAGTGGCCGGAGATGCAGTTTTGCGGATTGAGTGCTTGCCTATCATGCACGAAGCCCTGGCTTTGCTCCCCAGCCCTGCCAGGGTCTTCTGTGGTACTGGCCACTGATTCTCTCCTGACCCCAGGCACAGATGAAGTTGAGCCACAGGGAGCTTTGTGCACACAACTTTCCTTTGTATGGTGGCAGAACATCATTTCTAATCACGGTGCCGCTCTGCTGGTCACTTTGCTGCTGGGACTGGCCAGTGAGATCGAAGCAGAAGGTATGCCGTTAAATTATGAAGACTGAATCCTTTCTTCCTTTCAGAAAAGTGCATTGGAGCGCTGGAACTCCTGCAGGCATCTTGGAGCCTGAGAGTCTCAAGAACAAGAATTTGGAGGTCTTATCGCTAATGATAGCATAGAGCCTTTGCTCCAGCCATTGACTCAGCTTTGGACCTTCCGGTAGTAGGAAAAGAAAACAAATTTCTTCTTGGCTGGAGCCATTGTCATTTCAGGTGTTACCAGAAGCAGAATGAATTCCCAGCTGCAAAGGCAGAGTGGTGCTTGTGTCCCTCCTACGGGGGTCCACAGCTGACATGACAACCCTAAGACCTGATAGCTGGGACCAGGAGAAGAAGCCTGGAGGCCATGTGAGGAACAGCAGACAGTTAGGAGAGTGGGCTGTGGAGCCCCAGGGGACATGACCCCCAGTGGCGCCAAGGGCAGAGGGAATGGGCCCACAGCAGGGTGGCCAAAAGCCTTCCAGAGCCTTCTCACCTTCAGCTGGGTGCTGTGCACATCTCTGGATCCCCAAAGAGAAGCCAGTTTTCTTTTCACCTGCAGGGCCCACCATATACCTGGCTGTCTTAGTCAGGGTTCCTGTTGCTGTGATGAAACACCATGACCAAAAGCAAGTTGGGGAAGAAAGGGTTCATTTGGCTTACACTTCCACATCATAGTCCATCATTGAAGGAAGTCAGGGCAGGAACTCAAACAGCACAGGAACCTGGAGGCAGGAGCTGATGCAGAGTCCATGAAGGCGGGGTGCTGCTTACTGGCATACTCATCATGGCTTGCTAAACCTGCTTTCTTATAGAACTCAGGACCACCAGCCAAGGGATGACCCAACCCACAATGGGCTGGGCCCTCCCACATCAATCACTAATCAGGAAAATGCTTTACAGCCAGATCTTATGCAGGCATTTTCTGAATTGAGGTCCCCTCCTTGTGTCAAGTTCATACTGGTCCATCCTGGAAAGTTAGGCGCCAGGCTCTGTACCCATCCAGGCTCCGTCAGGCCCAGTCCCTCCTCAGTGCCAGGCTCCCAAGGCTACATCATCTGCATCCTCTGGAACTATATGGCTGCATGAGGGAGAGGATGGGAATGGTGGTGGTGGTGGTGATGATGATGATGATGATGGTTCTGATTACAATGGGATGATGAGAGGGATGATGGCGATGAGGATGGTAATGATGGTGATGATGGTGGAGCCTGATCTCCCCATGGACCAGCCCCTGTTCTCTATTTACTAACAGAAGGACTTCTCAAAAGCCAGCCTTCGGCCCCAAGGAAGAAGGTGATGGCCCCCAGAGAGGGATTAGTCAACAAGGGCACTGATGGGGATGTGCCTCAAGCCAGATGGACTCCAGATGAATTCAGAAACAACAGTTACATATACATATACCTCATCTCACACACCCACACACCCTGCGGTGGTTTGAATAAGAATGGCTCCCCATAGGCTCCTGTGTTTGGATGCTTAGTCACTAGTGAGTGGCACTATTTGAAAGGATTAGAATGATTAAGAGGTGTGGCCTTGCTGGAGGAAGCATGTCACTGGGGGTGGGCTTTGAGGTTTCAAAATCCATGCCACGCCTAGAGTCTCTCTCTCTCTGCCTATGGATCAGGATGTAGCTTTCGACTACTTCTCCAGCTCCATGCATGCCACAGGATCCCCAGCATGATAATGGACTAACCTCTGAAACTGTAAGCAAGCCTCCAACCAAATGCTTTCTTTTTTAAGAGTTACCTTGGTCATGGTGTCTCTTCACAGCCCTAGGACAGTGACTAAGACAGATGCCGTCTTCTGGCCTCTGCAGACACCAGGCACACACATGGTGTGCATATATACATGTGGGCAAAGCAACCATACACATAACATTAAATTTTAAAAAAGAGAAACTAAGAATAAAACCCGGGGAACACAGTAAGATGGCAGGGTGCAAGGAAGAACAGTGCGCAGTGCCTCTGTGGGTGTGGGGTCAGTGTGGGCTCCTAAGCGGGCAGTACCCAAAAGACCATTTACAATGCAAATGCACTCACCAGGCCACCCACTGGTTTAGCTTCCAGGAATGTGTGCCCCACACACGTGTGCTGCAGTTTCTATGTGGCTACTCATCACAGGCTGTGTCAGCCAGACACAAAACAATTTACCTCAGTAGCAAACGGGAGAGTGCTGTGCAACAGACTACTGTGTGAGGAGGAGAAGGTGCGTGTGTACTGCTAGAGACAGTCTCACACATGTGCACACTCACAGGAGCCGGCGATGGAACCCAAGACCTGTGCGCGCTGGTCAAATGCTCTTAAAATGTTTCTAGTAAGTGATCCCAGGGTCTGGGATGTGGTTCAGGGGCAGAGTACCATTCCTAGCACTGCATAAAATCAGGCATAGTGGCATATCTTGTGATCCCAGCTCTTGGGAGGTGGAGACAGGATGATTATAAGTTCAAGGCCATCCTCAGCTACATAGTGAGTTTGAGCTACACGTGACTGTTTCAAAAACAAACCAACCAAAAAAAAAAAAATGGCTCAGTGGTCAAGAGAGTGTGCTGCTCTTGCAAAGGACCTGAGTTTGGTCCCTCTGTAACTCTAGCTCCAAAGGATCCGATGCCCGCTTCTGGCCTCACAGGCATGGCACTCATGGGCAATGCGCATCATACCATACAGACACACATGCATGCCAATAATTAAAATTAAAAATACATCTTGTTAGAAGAAAATTTAAAACAGCATTGTACAGAATAGCGTGCCACCCTCTGTGTAGAGTAAACTTCCTCTAAAGGGCGTGAAGGCACACCATTAGCTTATTCTTTGCTGGCACAAGCTAGGAGCACTTGCCTATTGAGTAACTTGGCCTTGGTCCCTGGTCCTAGGTCGGAACTCTCAAGTGACAGGGCCATCTCCCTTAGGACGTAGCTGACACCAGTGTCCTACGCCACAGTCCCGTCCTGGCAGCAGGGGCTTCAGGCAGACTCCTATCCTGCCTTGAGCCCAGACTGAATCTTGGGGCCCTTCGCTTGGCTAGTCATTCCATCAGTTTGCCTGGGAAACAGGGCACAGGCCAGTTGTTGACAGCCAAGTATCATGAGGTTCCAGGTCACCAACCACAGTGATGTGTCCTGGGAGGACATGGCTTGATCCCACGGGAAGAAGACACATAAGCTCTCACAAGCCTCACCCTGTGTGTCTCTTTCCAGTGGCCGGACCCGATTTGTGTCCCTTATTACAAAAATGTAAACAGAAAACCAAAAAAAAAAAAAAACAAAAAACAAAAAAACAAAAGCCGGGCCGTGGTGGCGCACGCCTTTAATCCCAGCACTCGGGAGGCAGAGCCAGGCGGATCTCTGTGAGTTCGAGGCCAGCCTGGACTACCAAGTGAGTCCCAGGAAAGGCGCAAAGCTACACAGAGAAACCCTGTCTCGAAAAACCAAAAAAAAAAAAAAAATGTAAACAGCAGTACCTTCTTCTGCTTCTGTGAGTTATCCAATGAATTATCAAAGCTGGCCATGGGGACCTCTAGATTGGTGGAGAGTTGGCCAGGAATGCAGGTGGTTCAGGGACCACACAGAGCTGGCATCCAAGGCATGGCAGTCTTGTGTGACACTAACTCGTGGTGCTCAGCATCAAGGTGAAGTTCTACACTGACTGGTTTCAGAATGGGGACCAGTAAAGGCAGTGGGATTTTGCTGTAGCCACTGTGTAACTTTTTCTGGAGAATACCGCCTATTTACACACCACATAAGATGAAGCTTTGAGAGAGGCAAAGGGGGTTGTAATGAGTCCACTGTTTTGAACCCATGGCTGAGGCCGACAGCATACATTTGGGCTGTCATGAAGCTTCACCCAGACACCCCGGCCAGTGCGTTTTTCTTTTCTGTGCATTTGTTTGATTTTACCAGCCAGCCTTGAGCTGGAAGACCTCTGACCTTGAAGTCAGGTGTACCCCAGTGTCTCCTGT